CTAACCCTAGCCCTCATTTAGCCCCGCTAACCCTAGCCCACACTTAGCCCCGCTAACCCTAGCCCACACTTAGCCCCGCTAACCCTAGCCCACACTTAGCCCCGCTAACCCTAGCCCACACTTAGCCCCGCTAACCCTAGCCCACACTTAGCCCCGCTAACCCTAGCCCACACTTAGCCCCGCTAACCCTAGCCCACACTTAGCCCCGCTAACCCTAGCCCACACTTAGCCCCGCTAACCCTAGCCCACACTTAGCCCCGCTAACCCTAGCCCACACTTAGCCCCGCTAACCCTAGCCCACACTTAGCCCCGCTAACCCTAGCCCACACTTAGCCCCGCTAACCCTAGCCCACACTTAGCCCCGCTGCCCAAAAAAGGTCTTACCTTCTGCCATATCCTGTCAGCTGGTCGACTAGATTTGGCCAGAGAGTTGGATTCTATCATCCTGCAAGAAATAACAAGACTACATTAACCAACTTATCCAGAATAGTCTTAAACACTAGCATCTTTTCACCTACAGGTTTACATGTAGCAATACAAACAAATTCCTAAAACGGGTTAGGGAATGGAAAATAGTTCAGGACATACAACCAAAGACAAGAAGCACCGCAAGTACATTATGCAATCATACCATTTCAAACATTTTTCTAGACCTGTCACACAGCCTGCATGACAAGCATTACTGGGGGGGAAAAATAAGCATAAGGCAATTCCAACAGGAGGCTAAAGCTGCTTGCCCCTGATGCAGCATCCTGTTGTGTTCTCTGAATCGTCCTGTGTGGTAGCAAAACAGTACTTTAGCAAACAAGAAATATTTAAACACTGACAAGAATGCATCTTTTTGCACACTGGGAAAGCGCAGATAAAGACTGGATTAGTTCAGTACATAATAGCAGCAGATGCAGTTAACCAACCGTCACGCATTCTAACATTTTATTAGACTTTTCACACAGCATGACATGAAAAGCAGTACTGAGAAAGGGTCTTACCTCTCGATTTTCACAGGAGGCTGAATTTGCTTGGCTGCTCCTAGGGAGCCCGAGGCAGGACCCGGTTTTCTTCTCTGGACTGTCCTGCGTGGAATCACAGAACTACTTTACCCAACCGGAATGTTTTCCGAACATTGATTGCAGTTTCCCTGTACGAGCAAAAAGCCGGCAAATTTAAATGAAGCAGCTAAAGAGGGTGGCATAGTTCAGGACATCCAACCATTTTAGAAGATAGTTAACACATTATACAACAGTCAGGCTCTTGACAGTTTGAAAAGGAATGTTTTATTAGACCAGTCACACAGCCTGCATGACAAGCATTACACATCAAAAACCATACTGGAAAAAGTCTTACCGTTCACTCAAATCACTAAAGACTGCGGGTAATCTCCACCGTCACAGGAGGCTGAAACTGCTCGACCACTTCTGGGGATCCTCAAGGCAGGAGCCTGTTGTATTCTCTGGACCGTCCTGTGTGGAATCACAACCCATTCTGAAAAATCTTTGAAACACTGACAAGATGGCATCTTCTTGCCCATAGGCTAATGTTATTTAGCAATACGAACACATTGGCCAACAGCAAATAGTTAAACCGCAGCTAAAGGATCCAAATAGTTCTTCAGGACAGGCCACAACACCCAGGCATTCTTTACAGTTAGAAAGACATTTTATTAGTGCCATTACAGCTTGTACGACAAGCATTACATTAAAAAAAATACCTTGACGAAGAGCTCAGGCCTCGCCCATCTTCTCCCTCTCCTCTAGAATACATTGACATTTTATTAATTCACTGCCAAAATTACATTCCAGGTACACAGTAAATTTGACTGTCAAATTGGAGAACATTGCAACACTAAGCCAGTAAACATAAGGTCTTAACCTACAGTGTTGGGGTTACACTGAAGTGTACAGCACTATGAGGTTGACTTTGCCTATTTTTTTATGTCTAGTTCAAAACATCTGTAGGATAAATATTTAAGCAACTATTCAAATGAATAAAGATATTTTCAAAAAAAACACTTGTGATATATTGTGCAACAAACTCAGGTTTAGTTAATGGAAAAATTGCTTTTTAAATACAAATTTAACATGAGTTTTAATTACTGTCACAGCAATGTGTATTTAAAGTGCATTTTTACAGGGTACACAGAAGATTCACTTGCACTATGGAACATACATCACAATTACCATAAATCACCAAACCGTTAAAACTTTGTGAAAAATGCTTGCAGTTAAATATGAGCAGTGGCTCTTTAGTAATGTACTTGTTAACGCATGTAAAGTTCAACATACAAGGAAATCCACTCTAGGAGTACCATTGGCCAATTGCCATTTGGGCCATCTACCTTCCTGATATAAGAATGAGGGAGAAATATTTGTAGGGCGGTTATTGGAATGCATTAGTTTTAGCTGATTCTTTTTTTTAAATATAGCAATCAAACCAATTCCCATTAGCTGTAGGACTTTAAAAAAATAACCAAATGGGCCTCTACAAACGAATTGAGGGCTACTGGTGACTAGGCCGCAGCGGGGCAAGAACGGGCACATGCTCTAGCACAGGTTGCTCACAGACTTCGTTTCTCCACACAAATATTCTAAAAATCAGAATCAAAGCATGCTATGTAAAATCAAAATACAGACCAAAACAACTGAGAATGGGAGGGGCAGATGAGAGGCCCAGGCACCAGACCCACCATCTGGGCTGCTACTCTGCAGACAGCCTCAACCCCTAAAAAGACAAATAAATAGTTCAATTATATCAAATTTGATCACATTACTTACCAGAAGGAATCTAACTACTACCAACATGAAGAAGCTCCAGACAGGAACTGAATATAGCAACACAAAACAGCAGTGGCTTCCAACTACAGGCTGGAATTGCATTGAGCCTCCTCCACCCGGGCCGGTTCACACATGGTTTGGGCCTCCCTGACGAGCTGGGAGACACAAACAGAAAGATCACCAATGGCCACATCAGTTTCCTAAGAACTGAGACTAAAAAAAAACCTACCAGCTCTCTGGGTTCCCCAGCCAGGCTCCAACACAGAAAAGGACAAGCATTCTGACAGCAGCTTCATTATGTGCAGCTTTTATACCGTCTAATGGGTGAAACAGGAAGTAGGAGGTACCAATGCCTGCTTGAACCTACAGTACCTCAGGAGGGACATTTCCTCACTGGCTACACATTAAAAAATATGATTTACTATGCAAATAATTTATTTAGAATCTTACAGGCTGAGCTTCTTCACAACAGCGATGAACTTGTCTTGCATCATTTAGATCAGTGGTCCCCAACCTTTTTTACCTCACGGACCGTTTTCATGTCAGACAATATTTCGCGGACCGGTCGAGAAGGTCTGCGGCAGCTGCTCTGTCGCGGACCGTAAATCACTGCAGAGGGTGGTGAAAACTGCCCAACGCATCACCGGTTCCTCACTCCCCACCATTGAGGCGTCCAGAGCAAGAGATGTCTGGAGGGCACGCAGCATCGAAAAGGACAGCTCTCACCCCAGCCACAGACTGTTTGCCCTCCTCCCCTCTGGGAGGCGCTACAGGGTGCTCCGTTCCCGGACCAGCAGGTTCAGGAACAGCTTCATCCCTGCGGCTGTCATTCTACTGAACTCTGCCCCACACACACATCTCCCTCAGTGACTGTACTTCCCCCCCTCCACCCTGGCTTGACTGCCACACACCTTCCTCCAGCCACTGAACATTTGCACTGTTATTGTATATCCATTTCTTACTGTTCATATTGCACAACTATTTCTTACTGTACACATCTATTTATTCACTTATTACACTTTACATATGCACATACTCTGCACTTTTTGCTACTTTGTACTCTGGTTGGATGTTAAACTGCATTTCGTTGCCTCAGTACTTGTACCCTGTGCAATGACAATACAGTTGAATCTAATCTAATCTAATCTAAATCTAGTAGTCGCGCGCTCTGTGTTCGCTGGTCGGCGAAACTGCCGTGCCACTGAGCAAGACACCTAACCCCTAACTGCGCCCCGGATGCCTTTACAGCAGCCCACTGCCCACTGTGTGGGGTGGATTAAATGCAGAGAACAATTTCCTGTATGTGCAATATAATACTTGTCAATAAAAATGGGTTCTTCTTCTTTCCAGGAATCCAATGTTATGCTTCCTCCTGGATGTACCCAGGGAATTACATGTTTCAAATTTGTCAATGTATAATATCAATAAAATGCTTTCCTGCTCACATCCATTGAGGTCCATTGTCTTTGAAGAAGGTACCATCAAAGAAGGATTTGTATGTGTAAGCTCTCTGTGGCCGCTTATCTACAGTTTTCAAATGACCAGCCTGATCCTAGATTGTCTGGCAGTTAAGCATTTGCAGGACTAACTTTAGAATTGAAATATATTGGAATAACTCACTATTCTTTCAGTCAAGAATATACTACCAGTTCCTCTACATTAAAGTGGGTCCTGTAATAAACCTTTCTCCACCAAGCAGCGGAAAGTGGACCTGTATCACCAATAGCTTTTCTAACAGGGTTTGTCTTACAGATCGTGCTGGCTAGCTTTTTAACTACTGACTGGTCAAACTGGCATACATTATCTGGCAATACTTGGTAATAAATAAAATAAATAATAATAATAAATAAAAATAAATTTTAAGAATTTGGAACAGACTGAATTAATCAAATAGTTAAAACTCCTGCAAAGACGTATCTACAGTTGCATTAGACGCAAGAAACATATTTTCTAATATAAGCAGAACTAAAGCAATTAACCTTAATATTCTTCAAGTTTTGAGAACCCCCATTATCAAAAGTGTGACTGGAGACTGGAGTTATGAATCAGACACCAGGGGTGGAGAAAGTGTATTTATAGACCCCCCCCCACAAACACATCTTCAGTCACACTTGGTGCTCAGTGTTGAGTATTAATAATAATAGTATTAACAACATTATAAGCAACAGTTTTCTTCAAATATAGTCATACATATCATACAAAATACCCTGCATATTACTGTAATAGGACAGAGATGTGAGGTCAGAGATATGACGCTATTGACGTGATGCCAGAGATGTGATGTCATTGTGGCTTTCAGTTTTTCCATTGATGCAGATTTCTCCAGAATTCAAAGTGATCAACCGACAGTTTACTGATGACATCTTCATAATAAAATATGCTCTAACTTTTGGTGGCTCTAAGATTGTCTATGAAATCAAAATATACACATCACAATCTCTAAAATAATAATAGATTGAAACATGTAAATCATATATGACAGATTATAATCTGTACATATTTATCTCTAAAATTAATACATACAGATGTTACTCTCTGGAATAAATATGTACACATTATAGTCTTTACAGATCAATTTTAAATCTAAAGTAAATACGTACAATTGTTATGTTACAGATAACAATCTGAATATATTTATGTACCAGATTAAAATATTTTAGATGATTGGAGTTTTGGCGGTTTCATTCCTGGAGAGTCTGACTTTTTGTACAGGTGAGTGAATATTTGGCTAAAACCATGACCTTAACATACAAACTCAAGGATCAATAACTCAGAATCATAACTCATAGTGCAGCCATCAGAATCACCAGGATAAATGAGACCCATCTTCTGTTCTTTGGTGTTTCTGTTTTTGATTATTGATCCTGTCTCATAAATTAACTCTAAGGTCGGAGGTCGTCACAGCGAAATGGTTCAATACTAAGTGTGAGAGCTCCACCTCGACCTTTATCTTCAGCTTTACTTCCACCTTTGTAACTACCTTTACCGTCACTTTTTCTCTACCTTTATATCCATCTCCACCTCTTTACCGCCGCCTTTACATCTATCTTTACCTTCCCCTCTTTTCAGCTTTACCTTTACCCCCACCTACTCCAACTCTACCTTTAACGTAGTCTTAATCCTCACCTACAACTCAAAGTATCATCATCAGGTACAGACTTGTAGTTCTAGGATATAAAACAGATAAACATTGTTGTCTCCGTCATCCACGTGGAGCGTGTCAATAAAGTTTATTCAGGTGGACGTAAAAGCACCTTTTAAGGTGAATCCATCTGTATACATGACAATCACCGTCGCCACAACGACCACTGGTGTGCAGATACAATAAAAGAGTGACCAAAGGTCCCAAATCAGAGAGGAAGTCAGTTGTTTTTTTTGTTGGTTCATTTATATGTTTGGTTCAAAAGTGAAAGTCACTGTCTGTCATTAAACTAATGAAGTGTTAAGTGTTTTTTTTTCTTTTTTTACATTTTCTTGATGCTAAGAGAGATATTTGTTTTTCTTTAAGAGAACGTATCATGAAATTATTTGAACAGTTTTTAACTGTTTTTCAAACCGAATCATTTCACAAATGATTGTTGTAGAAAAAGTGCACAATAACCATACTTTAAACAGCAGGTTTGGTGAACAGCAGGTAATAATAAATGTGCACAATGTTGATCAAAAATGTAAATCCTTTGAGGAATTAGAATATTTAGGGGCCTGTAAGAAGAAGCTGACGTACGGATAATAGCCCCTCAACCATAGCTTCAACCTCTTAAGAGTTAAACAAGTCCAGAGTCGATGTTTAAGATCATCCTTCTAAACCTCTTCCTCCTCCAGCTCCTGCTCCTATACCTTCTCCCACTACCACATGTACGTCTTGGTGGTGTCGATCTGAATCCCCTCTGGACTCGCCCTCGCCTCTGCCTCCTCCCCCTTGTCCTTGTCAGCCTCACTCTCCAGGAGGGTGATAAGGGGGGGATACAGCTCGCTGAGTGGGATGGAGGTGTGCGTCATGTACTCCTTCAGTGAGGGGCCGCAGGCCTCGTGGAAACGGACCCTCCTGCCCATGTAGACCACCAGCAGCGCCATAATGGACAGCGCGAACATAGAGCCCATCACAGCCGCCAACGCCACTCCGCCACGACGCGACGGCACCGGTTCCACCAGAAAGCCCACCTCCCGGGTGGTAACGTTTAGACAGGAGGTGCGGACAGGAGGGGAGGAGAAGGGGGAAGGAATAGAATAAGAAACGGTGAGGCAGACACGGTACTCTGTGGCAGGAAGAAGGTGAGTCAGGTTGTACTCCTGGACATCCATTGGGACCTGGAGAAAAGAGGGGTTGGGGGGGTTACTATGGCGATGGTGGGATCACTTCCTGTCCCAGCTCAGTGGCTAACATCTCTGAAGCTGTGGCTATCGTCTCTGTGGGTGTGGGTAGTCTCCCTATACGTGTGTCTAACACAGGGCTCTAAACTAACTTTTTGCCAGGTTGCACTGGTGCGCCTTAATTTTTTATTTAGGTCCACCAACACAAAATTTAGGTGCACCCAAATTTTTCCTTGCGTCGCCTTTGACTCCACAATTTCAAGGTAATTTTTTTTATCACACTCCATATACATTTCTATATATTATGTAAATGATTTAAAACAAGAATAAGGTGTAGGTAAATAATATAGTTTTTATTTGAAGCGCAATTATACTGTATATAAAAATCTTAAATAAAAAATGTGCTTCGCTGCTGCCAAACAAAACATTTTGTGCAAGATGAAACATTTCAAAAGTGCTTCCCGCGATGGCAACAGTTGTCTTTTTTTTTATGTGTCAGATATTACCCCAATTAATTGGGCACATGCAACGTCATTGCTGTACATCGGGTTCACGTCTAATCCATTTTTCTTCATGAGAACTATTTCTGATCTAAACTTTGTGAATGGCAGCTCTTCTTTTGATAGTATGTAGGCAACGTTCAATCTAATTATCATTTCGGATTCTTCTGAGGACCTGACATATGGCGGCAAATCACTGTCAAAATTTGAGAGCGCAAATCAGGTTGATGGGCGCGCATAAATCAAACATCCGCGAGAAAATCTCCGTCTCGCGCGAGCAAAAGTTCATCTTACGCGAGATATTTGCTCGCTCGCGGAAAGTGAACTTCCTCGCTTGCGAGGTTAATCTCTGCTCGCGATTGAAGGTGTTTTCTACGCGCTCGCTGCTTTTGTTTTTGACAGTGAGGGGGCGGAGCCAGTCACCATGGTCTCTACATCTGATTGGTTACAAACCCCGTCTTTGGATTGGCTGGAGTTATGCATCCACACAACTATAGAAGCCCATTTCCGCACTAATGTAAGGGGATAGAAAGTCGAAATTAGGAGATAAAACGTTGTCAAAACACAAACGCCCCCCTTCGGTAATCGTAGTGGACCGTAGATGACAACCAGCTACAACCATAATTTACCATCAATTACCATCATTACCGGCACATTAAGAGCAATGCGTCCAGCTCTCAGACCGATTTTACCAGGAACTGAGGAGACTGGTGGCTCCATGTCTGGGCTTTTGTCAGAGCATTGACCGGGGAGAGTGTAGGGGGGAACAGGCCTACTTTTCTTTAAAAAAAAAACGTATCTATCTATGGGTCGATTTCTTTTCATTGTTCCTCGTCTCATCTCTGACGTATCTTGTTCACTGGTGTTCAGGTCGCAATTTGAATCACACAGCACGGAGCAGTGTAGGCCTACAGGAATATCTGGACCACAGCCAATCAGAGGCAAAGACCCGCCGCATCTCTGTCTCTGATCTGGTCTCTGGTCTAGACCATATGATCCAACCATGAGTGAGTTCCGTCAAAGGAGAGTCAGCGGATGCGAGAACAGGTGCACCGGTGCGACCTAGGAAACATTTTAGTCGCACCCGTACAAAAATTTGGTCCCACTTTAGACCACTGTAACATATATTTTGGTCTGTCTAACCTATCAGAAGGTGTGGCTAGCCTCTCTGTGGGCGTGGCTCTGTGGGGGAGTTAACCTTGGCAGTGTAGCTGATCTGGGAGTTGTCGATGTGCACAGTGGCACTGGTCCAGCGGGCCAGAGGAAGGGCGACGCCCTGCTGGTTCTGACCCGTGGAAGTAGGTCTACCACCGGAAAACAACTTCCACTCCAACACCACTGACTGGGCGTGCACCACCTGCACAAGAGATGGAGGACACGCGTCATATGACTAGTTGATAGTAAATTAATCTAATAGAAGAAATGTTTTTAAATTAAATAATAACACCAACTAATATGTTCATAGAATAGAGTCAGTACCTTGGCGAGCACCAACAGAGAGGCTGCAGCACTGGACTGGTTCCCCGGCAACAACGCCACCCAACTGGACGACGAGTCCAAGGATCCCTGTAGGTGTATCGAGACGCTCTTTGTGTCAGCTCCCTCCATGTTCCACGCTACGCAGGTGTACACACCTGAGGGGGAGGAAAGGTCACCTATGTATCTTTATATATCTGTTGTCCTTTTTTTAAAGTTAATTAAAAACAAATACCTTTAAAAAAAGTTGAACTAACTCAAAATGTCAACTCTACTAAGTAGTGAAAGTCGAGTACAGTAGTAGTACAGTAGGATGGGTACTAGTAACCCCAGTACTACAAAGTTTTATGTCGCCGTATTGGCTGGTTTGGCTAGTAACAAACCAATACTTAGGTTAGCTAACACGTTAGCTAGGTTAGCCAACATGTTGCGGCAGAGTGCTTTGCCTTCCGTTAGTGTTGGTGGCGTTGAACCTGGAGGGCTTTAGCCTGCTAAGTTACGCTTCAGTTACCTGCGCTATACCCCTGAGGTGCACTAGATACATGCACAGGTAAGGAAGGAGACATTAAGCAACCCATTTCTTTTTGTTACGTGTGAGACTCCCTTACCTATATTGTCTTTGTTAAATATCTTCTTTTTAAAGATTTGAATCAATTGTAAATAGACTCGTGGCTTTGGACCCTACCCGAGCCCAGCTGAGACATGCAGACAAGTGGAGAGGACGCGCAGGAAAAGCATATATTTTGCGCATATCTTCATTTGCAAGTATTACCGGGTATATAATCCACGTTTCAAAAATACAAATATTGACTATTTGTAAAATGTATTAATATATCAAACAAGAAAATGCTAAATGCTATATATATATATATATATATATATATATATATATATACACGCCCCATTGCCCTCTATGTACCAAGCCGCCATTGATGATGTGGTTGCATCTTTCCACTTTTTACCAAAATACAAATTGGTCACCAATTTCTACCCCTTTTCTACTGTGGTCAGCACACATTTTTATTTTATGTCCAATTGTTATTTTTCAGACAACTGATGAGCTTGCCGACAGAAAGTCTATCATAAAAGTCTAGTTTATGAGGAGCCAGATGTTTTAGTTTTTTTAAATTTGCATAAAAATTAGGGGTGTAACGATTCATTTTAACAACAATTCGATTCGAATCGCGATTCATGGTTGCCGATTCGATTCATGGACGATCTGGGTTCATTTAGACCGATTTGATTCGATTCAGTGACTTGAAATCGATTCAGTAACTTTACTGGACAGTGCAGGCAAAGTTTCTGAGATCCCTGTTGTTTCTTGTAAGGAAATCAGGTTTAAATTAATTATGGCTATTATAAACAAGCAAACAACAATTGATGGCAAATCAATTGTTGGTATTAACCTTTTATTTGAATCAAGTGACATTTTCAATGTAAACATTACACAATAATTATGTGTGTTTGGATCAATTCACAGAACCCCGGATTTTCAACTACATTGTAGGGTCGCATGTCTTTATAGCTAAACTTGGCAATTGTTACTGTGATGTTGAGTTCAGCGAGGCCTGAGGCGTCTGCAGAGCTGAGTTACCTGCTGCTGCTGCAGCGGTGACGCTGCTAGAGGTCCTGACTGTCGGCGTTGTTTAATCCCACGGCGCCTTAGTAGAAGGCCGGAAAGATTCGTTGTGTTTCCGGTTTTTTTTATTTGTCTTCTACATATTCTACAAACAGCGACCGACTTATTTAGAACACCTCCGTGTTTTCAAAAGCCAAAATGTTTCCACGCGCTGGATCGATAAGTTGGTTTGTAAATGTCTTGCTTGCAGTCGTCTCCTCCACGCTGTTTTGTTGTTGTTCAGAGTTCCGCGCGGCTGCCGCTGCGTACTGATGACGTCACAGACAGGCAGACTGAATCAAGTAATGTTTAACGTGTCTAAAGTGCTAAAAAACAAACAAACAAACACGCATCCACACCGTTTTTGTACTTATATCCAATGTGCAGTTTCCAAGTATCAATACAATCGATTATGTACCATTTCAATCGATTTGTAATCGATATATGTCGTCCGGAATGCCAATTTGCGGAGCACAGATCGATTCAGTTGGATCGCAGGAATATAAATTGATTAATCGATTCAGTGAATGAATCGTTACACCCCTAGTAAAAATTGTATTTTTAACGGAATGGAAAGGGGGAAAAAGGATAAGTTTAAAAAGGGGTGATTATTTTATCCTTATACTTTCTGTATGTTTAGGGGGAAATAAACTCCCCTTGGCTCAACCACAGTTTGTGTTTTGTTTTGTTTCCATTGTTGAAGTTTCTGTATTTTTGTTATTGACGTTGTTTGCACAAAGTTATTTTTTCGAGTGCTGACCTGCGTCTGACGGCTGAGCATGTTCAATCACCAACGCTCCGGGCTCCAACACATGGTGCTTCTTCTTCTTGCTGCTGCTACTCAGGGCGAGCCCCTCCTCTGATACAATTGGTCCAGCCACAGCCTCCAAGCTCACCTGACCGGTGAGGAGGAAACAGAAAAAAAACCTCACCTTCGGTTGTCTGTAGTGCCGACACCAGTGACAACGTACCACGCCTACCTTGTCTCCAGTGGGTGTCACCCAGTAGAACTGGGGGGGGGGGGCAGCATCTGCCCAGCACTCCAGTGTGATTGGCTGCCCTGCGCTGACGTTAATGGTAGGGGGGAAGGCGTGGGGGGAGATGTGGGGGAGGCAGCTGTTAGCGCCGCCTCCGGCCCCACCCCATCCGGAACCCACCACTTCCTGCAGCTCCCGACCAATCAGGTGAGGCGGGGAGGAGCAACGCGTGATGGGGGACTCAAGCACCTTGAGGTGCGACTGGTTGCCGAGGTGAGGGCCCCAGGAGGTGAGACAGTCGCACCTCAGAGGGTTAGAGTGAAGAGACACCTCCTCCAGAGAAGGGAGGGAGGAGAGGAGGTCTCCAGATAGGAGGGTCAGTTGGTTACTGTGGAGTAGGAGGGTTCGCAGGGAGGACAGCTCACTGATGAGAAGGAGCAGAATAGGGGAGCAAGTGATGAGACAAGGAGTTGAGGGAATAGGAGGGCGGTAGGAGAGGAGAGGAGGAGACAACGAGTGGAGGGACGTGAGCAGAAAAGATAACTTTTTAAAAATATATACAAAAAAGGTACATTTTAGAATTTTCAGACAGACAGACAAACACCTGAAGGCCTTTGGGTCAATGTAAGACAGCTTCTTGTTGCTGCAGATTTCCAGTTTAACAATTTCCGGAAGGTTCTTAAAAGCTGCTCGTTCCACCATCAGGAGCTTATCCATGTTGTTCAGGCTGAAACAATCAAAACATTCTGATATTGTTATAACAAAAATTATATTCATTATCATTATGAATAGTAAGTTATGATTACTACGATCATTAGCGTTACTAGTATTATTTCTAATAATAAATAAAATATTACATTACATGTCATTTATCTGACGCTTTTATCCAAAGCGACTTACAATAAAGGGCATTCAACCATAGGGATACAAACTCAGAAGAGCAAGAAACAAGAAAGTGCAATTTTATCAAATAAGCCAATTTACAATTTTCTATAGATAAGTGTCATTATAAGTACAATTTCCATCCATCCTTCCATCTGCAAATTCACACTCACATTCACACACCTACGGGCAATTTAGAGTCACCATCAACCTGATCCCCAGAGCATGTCTTTGGACTGTGGGAGGAAGCCTGAGAACCCGGAGAGAACCCACGCAGACATGGGGAGAACATGCAGACTCCACACAGAAAGGCCACTCTCAAACCAAGAGAGGACGGAGTGAGGCGTCTTCTCCTCGTCCTAACCCTATTCACTGAACATCATATCCACGACTCCTCAGACTCACCTGAGCTCCTCCAGGTGCAGAAGGTTCTGGAAATCTCCCCGCTGAACCCGGCTGATCGGATTCTTGTTCAGGTCTAGGAACTTAAGGCTGGGGAGCACACTCAGGGCGCCCCGAGGAACCGACCTGTACAGAGGAGTAAGAAGAGGAGGATGTCACACCAGTATCACAGAAAGAGACAGTCACAGGGACTCCAACCCGCGGCGCAGATACTCACCTCAGCTGGTTGTCGTAGAAGGAGAGACTCTCCAGGTAGTCGAGGCCCAGAAAGGCCGCGGAAGGGACAGAGGTCAGGCCAATCCCAGCAAGGACCAGGCTATGGAGGCGAGACAGAGGCCAGAAGTTCTTCTCTTCTAGACCCAGGATGGGGTTCTCCCCGATCATCAGGATCTCCAGGTACGGGAGGGGCTCGAACCAGCGGCTGTCGATGGCCACGAGCCGGTTTGAGTTCAGGTGGAGCCTAGAAGGCAGTGCAGAGAGCGGTAGTTCTTTAGGGGGTTCTACGGTCACTAAGGAGTGATCGTAGAATCTTCTAGTGGCTCTTTAGCGGTTTCTGATGATCATTCAAGAGGTTCTATATGACCATAAGGTCATCCTCTATGCTACTCGGGAGAATCTATATGGTTTCTGCAACATGTTGAACATGGGTGGATCCAAAGGTCTTTCAGGTCTTTAGGGTTTACTCAGGTGGTTTATCTCACTAAGAAGGATTTAGTGGTTCTTCAGAGAGTTATAATCAGTGGCGGCTGGTGGAATTCTTTTTTGGTAGGGCCAGCCAATCAGTTTCAGAAAAATCCTTGTTAAATATTTAAAATGTATTCCATCAGTTTAACATAATAAGGACATCTTATTCATAATAATAATAATAAAGGATAAATATATTACAATTAAATATATTTAAATAAAACCTCATAGAACATGTACAGATTGTGGTAGTGGCATTAGCCATGTGTGTCCTGGTGTTCTGTATCGTTTTCTTTTGTGCTTTTCTGCTTCTTAGACCCACCTCTTTTGGGCCTGGCCCGAGTAATTTTTAATTTGACAAAAAATATATATATACATTTTTTGTGACACAAGGTGGGGCCACGCCCATGGCCCTCTACGGGCCAGTCGCCACTGGTTCTAATGATCATTTAAGGACTTTCTAGGAATGATTGAGGTGTATCTAAGGGCCTTTTAACTCTTTGGGTACCCATTGGTGCTTCCTTTGGTTCTGAAGAGGTTCCAGTGGTTCTTTATACGTGAGGGCAGGGTAGTTCATTAGGTTACTGGGGAATCCACACGGTTCATGTAAGAGACTGGACATTCATGGCGATGGCTAGTGGATTTTTAAGTTCTTAACGTGGTTCTAGTGGTCGATGACGAGGTTCTCGTGTTATTAAGATTGTTCTTGTGATATTTTAAAGTTCATAACGGGTTAGACTATTGGTCAGTGAGGAGATTCAAAGGGTAAACAACTGAATTTTGTGCTCACTGTCTAGAGGGTAATTTAAGAGGCTCTAATGGTCTTCGTAGGATTCAGGTATCACTGAGGAGGTTCTGTGTGCCCTTTGATTTGTGTTGGAAGGTCAAAGACTAACAAGATACCGTAGCAGGTTGGTAAGTCCAGTGAAAGCTTTAGGTCCAATGGAGGAGATGTGGTTGTGGTTAATGTAAAGCTCCTCCAGACTGGAAAGATTCCTCAAACTGAGGTCCTCCAACTCCTCAATGTAGTTCTCCTCCAGGTAGAGAGTCACCAACCGGCCCAGAGAAGACAGACCCATGGAGCTCACCTGGGAACAGAGACAAATTAGTTAATCAAAGAACCTTGACAACCAAGGCATCAGTGTTTTATCCATGCTATAATGGAGCAAGTCATACAGCAGTGTGGAGAATACGAACAAGAAGGTGGAGGAGAATGCGAAGGAGAAAGTGGTTGAGAAGGTTGTGGCAAAAGTGAAAATAATATGCAGGAGAACATGGACAAAGTGGTGGAAAAACTGAAGGAGGAAGTGGACGAACTTGGGGGAGGATATGAAGAAGACAGGAGGACATAGAGGAGTTCATAGAGGAGGACGTAGAGGAGAACCTGTAGCAAACCTGCGGTACCTGGGTGAAATGGTTCTGGGACAGGTCCAGTTCTGTCAAGTTGGTCAGACTCTGCAGCTCCATGTCGATGGAGGAGATGTTGTTGCTCTGCAGCAACAGAACCTGAAACGTGTCTCGGAGTTATAACGTAATCACAAACAAATATTATTGGGTTAATTATCTAATTGTTAATTTGACGTTCACCTGAGTATCTGAGGAGACGTTGGCTGGAACCCGGTGGAGATGCAGCTCGTTGCAGTCCACGGTTCTGGCCTGGTGGAAAATGGACTGAGGCGTGTACCAGGGTCTGGTCTCACACACACACAGCAGAGGACACCGCACAGCGCCACCTGGAGGACACACACAGCACACACGCACACTTCAGAATCTACATTGATCTTCATGTGTCCATCAGATGTCTAAAGAACCGCTACTTACCCTGACTGATACCGACCACTCCGGCAAACACTGAGGATGTCACCACACAGAGGAGGAGGGGGGTAAATGCTGCAAATCCCATAATGCACTGGGTGCGCCACAGAGAGTTTGTGTTGGTTGAACTTCCCGCTGAACCTCAGATGAGGCGGGTCACATCCACAACTTGATGGAAGCACACAGGATACGATGTCATTATTAACATCTCAGCAGAAATAATTCATTCTTTTCATCAGTTTGTAATCTGTAAACACAACTACTTAGTTAGGTTGAGATAACTAAACTATATTGTTAGGTCGAGCAAAGACAGAAATAATGACAGAAGTTCGGTTGCTTGAGACATTTCTGGTTTACTTCTAGCTGTCTTTCTACTTTTGGGTTTATGCTTACTTAGATAAGGTCAAACTAATTTTGGGATATGTTTGCGCTATGGTGCATTAAGTTTCGTAGGTTTGAAGACCTGACACCGGCCGATCATAAGTTCAGTTTTACTCACAAGTCTTTACACTTAAAATATAATGATTTAAGAAACATGACCTTTCATTTGATCCACAAAAGCGACAGAAAGTCTCCAGATGTGATCCGACCACACACGCATACACAGGCCACACGCACGCAACAATACACACACTGTGTGGCAGGATTCTGGGACACGTTTCTTCTGCTGCCATGGCGACCAGCCAGGGAGTGACATCAGGGGGTTTGAATGGCCACAAAAAGTAAAAATATTTGGTCTATGTTATATTTGCTCTTATTTTAGTAAGACAACAAATAAAATATGAAAAATCCTCCAGTCTGATAAGTGAAGCAGCAGCTGGCTGTGCTCCCCTGGAGGAGCGTGCACGGGTTTGACAGTCAGTGTGTTTACATGATGGTATAATTGGAATCTTTGCTTAGTCGGACTATGCTATCTTTCGGGGGGAGGTGCTATTATCCCAATATACATGGCAGTGAATAAATCGAATCATTGGCTGAAAGCATGTCATATCCGATACGATAGGTGGCGCTGTTTTCATTACAACTAGTTGTGATGCAGCCATTTCCGCTTGACCGCTTCACCACTACCAACAACAACAACATCAACATTAGGAGAAAGATGGCGAGCCGAGAGCAAGGTGGGGCTACATCCCTCTACTATGTGTGCATGATGTTAATAGGAGCGCAGCGAATGCGAATGGCGCTATTGGCTGATTTGATAACGGAGAGAAGACGCCGTCGGGATCTCAAGCATCCGCAAAGACGCAAAGTCCAGTTCCTCATCCGATTCACCGTTACATGCCGCAATAGTCGAACTATCAACTGGATCGGATGGAGTTATCCAGGGGTGTTAGTCGGATCGTAGTCGGACCGCACATAGTCGGACAAAGGTGTTTACATGAAACGGATAACTCGATTTCAGTCCGACTGAGCCAGTTATTGGAATCCATGTAACCACGCTGAGTGTTTTTGTAATTTGTTCACCTCTACATGAGTTCTCTCAAGAGTCACATAACTTTAAGTCAGACTTTAATCTGCTAGAAAAACAACAAAGAAGTCAAAACAGGAGAATTATTGCTATCATTAAAATAATTAATAGGACTAGTATTATTGATCTTAAAACAACTTTGGACTATGTTGTAATGCTGAATATTTGTTAATAAATTCAGTGAATTTCTCAGAAACTAAACGACGCACCTCTAAAGTGGTGCACCTCACTTTCTCTACTGACTCTGAACGCAGCACGGAGACCTGAACCTCCTTCTTCTTGTTAACATAGTGAAGGAGGTTCACCCTGCTCCCACATCTGAACACATCTTCTCTTTCTCCTCCTCGGCCTCTGAGCAGATAGAATATTGATGAGTCCATTTTAATAATTTAACAAGCTGTGAACGCCTTGTCAAGTGTCTGAAGAGGCTGTGATTGGAGAAGGGCCGGTTAGTGAACTCTGAGCGGTGTCACACACATCCCTGCAGTAAAACCACTCCAACCACCGTATACTAGTAAAGTAGCACTGTATTTAATAGCACTAAAAGTACTCGTTATGCAGAATCATGAATATTAAACGTGTTCATCAGTTTAAAGACTTTTTTAACCACGATAGGAAGATTACACAGCAAGAACAAAGAGAAAAAAGAGCAGAATCAAGAACGGAACACAGTTGTCATGGAAATGTCCCAAATGTGAAACAATGTCCTCTGAAGTAAACATTTTTAAATTTTATTTATACGAGTCTATGACAAATGCACTGATCCCATCATTTCTGAGGAAAGGAGTCAAAGGCGGGAGGCAAAAAAAGGAGGAGAGGAGGAAGAGAGGAGAAGAGGAGAAGAGACAAGGAGAGGAGGCAAGAGGACGAGACGGGAGGAGGAGAGGAGAGGGGAGGGGATAAGATGGCGAGATTAGGGCACGACACTAGGACAGGTGACAAGTAGATGAGCCAAGACGAGGACACAATAAAGGAGACAAGGAAAGGACACTGAACTAAACCTTGAGTGAGTAAATGTTTCTTTGTTTTACCATAAAATATAAAACGAAATAAAACATGTTGATCAGAGACAATCAACACGCAGCAACCCTGCTCTCCCCTAAAGTCTTTATGCTAAGCTAACTACTTTCGGACTCCATGTGTACCGTCACAGAAACATGTCGAAATATATATATTATTTTATTAGTAGTTTTCCCGTTATCTTTCAGCTAATACTAAACCTAAGTTACCTAATATACCGAATATATATATATATATATATATATATATATATATATATATATATACATATACATACATACATACATACACAGATATATATATATATACATACATACATACACACATTATATATATATATATATATATACATATATATATATACATACATACATATATATATATACATACATACATACACACACACATTATATATATAGACATATATATATAGACATAAACATATACATACTGGTCTTACATTTAAACCAATAGGCCAAAGATAGTAATATAGTGACAGTACACGTCATCGTTGTTTTCCTCGTCTCTAATTATTACAATGTACTTTTATGTATCTTAAAACCTGCTGAGGGATGCGTTCACGAACCGTCGTACAATAGATAATTCAGATCATTGTAACAGCAGCGACCTGAGACTGTTTGAAGACTCTCGGTTTATAGGTTTATAACCGAATGATTTAAATTATTACTATTATTATTTGTACTACTATTATTAATAGCGATATCCCCTTAGAGCACCGCGCGCGCTATCGTGAGTCGGTGGACAGCCGCCCACGTCCTCACCTCAGGAGCCCCACCAATCACCGAGCCGGGTCCAGTAAAGAAGAGCCGCGTCTGGTAGACAGGAGCCAGGTCCGGTAGAAGCTGGAGAGTCGGTGCTCGGTTCGGGTCCCGCTGCTGCCGCTTTTAGCTTTTACCCCCGCCCTCTATCAGGTCCGCAGCATGACTCGGGATCAGCCAGTGTGCTTCATAGAAGAGAAGAGACAACGGACCAATCACAACTCGAATGCTGCACAGCGGTTATATGTGTGTGTGTGTGTGTGTGGGGGGGGGATGAAGCTACAAACATGACGTAATGCTCCAAATTCCCCTGATGAGTCTGTGCATTTCTTTCGGAGTCTCTTCTCCTGACGCGAAGCCTGCGCTGTACAAGTAAACAAAGTACACAGAGTACAAATATAAAAAGTAGTACAGCAATATAAGCTATAACAACAACAGAAATATATCCCGGAGGACGAATCGTTAAACCAGTTTTCAATAGTTTGGAATAAACAAACCTTTAAATCTAAAGGTATACTTTCATCAACAGAAGGAAACACCTGAAAACGACTGATAATGACATCAGCACATTGATGACCTCATCATGTTGATGAAACCATCACGTTGACAAAAACATATCTAATCTAAAAAAAATCAATAACAAGAGAAGAAACACAGGAACAGCTGTGACATCACAGATGATGTCGCTGATGATGTCATAGAGATACAGTAAATCAGTCTGAGGCTCAATACCAGTGGATGGATGTCATTAATATAGATTCTTATTAGATCTAATATGAATATAATATTCTATTCATATATATATATCATATATATATATGTATAGAGAGAGAGAGAAAACAAGCCAGACAACCATTTCTGCAGTAAAGCATAAGCACACTACATTAAATTGGAGTAAAAGTACATCAATGTAGCATAAGTGTTAAATGATCAGTAAAATCTGTCCCGTTCAAAACAGATGTTCCTGGTTTAATATTTATAAAGTGTTAATGTTTAAAACACAAAAGTATCAAAGTACAATCAGAAAAGTGTAAATAAATAACTAAACTCAATATTTAATTGAATAATAAGCAACTAATAATGAAAAACAATTTAATGTTAATGGATAGTTTCAGCTGTACAACTGTTCAGCTGTTATATCTAAACACCTCTAAACAAAGATCAAAGTGTTTGTAGATTTGTGGTTATGTGTGTGTGTTTAATGAATCATCTCCCGAAAAACCAAAGCCATGTCCATAAAAAATATCTTTTAATATCTCCAGTAAATGACACGTAGAACTCAGAAAAATAAAAAGCAAGCCCCTTTACATCTATAAACCACCCTAACAATCACAGCTGGGGAGGGCACAGCAACGATAGGCTACAGAAACGAGACGTCATTAAGACTCCTCAGCCGGACAAAATATTATAGATTATATCGAGATTAAATACACAGAAACATCTGATAGAAAAAGAGTAAGACGATTTATCTTTTCTCAGGACTTCATCCTGCTACAGAGGATCATGGGACATCAACACAACACATGGCCAATAGCATGTGGTCCGCCCAGCGACCACGAACGAATCAATTAGTATTCATAACGTTGGTGTTTCTACTTTACACACAAACAATATTAGGACACAAGCATCGACCAATCCGGTCGCAGCAGGCTTTAACAATGAAGTTATCAAACCCTAAAAACAGAAGGTTAAGCATGTGTTGGAGCCCTCACACATGTTAAACACACAGTAACTCTCTGATCAATACGTTTAATCAGTTTAAGAGGGAATGGGGGGGTTCCACACACTTTTGGCCATGTTAGTCCCAGGTCATTGTCTAATCAGAGAGCTTCACTGTGAAATCACCATCCATCAATCAAACACCAACAAGCAAAATAATAATGTCCCACTTTAACCAAGTACTTCTACACTGTGGCATTTGTACTGTTACAACGGTAACACAGTACTTAGTAACAAGTAACTTTGTTAAAAAAAAGTTTTTTTTTTATTTTTATTTTTAAGTGGCACATTATTTTTTTTTTGTGTATTTCCATTTATGTAAAGTGTTGAACACTACCCATAATGCATCATTGTCCTAAAAAATATGAAAACATTCTTCATGGTGTGCTGGCAAAAGAAAAAAAAAGGCCAGAGATAAAGAAATTATAATTAAAGGACAGGAGACCTTCCGCTCCATCTAGGGCACCACATGACAAGTGACTGACCACGTGAAGCCACAAACGTTCTTCTTCCGCCGTTGTAGAGAAACGTTTCGTCAATGCTAAAAGACATCTGACAAACCCTTGTTCAAAGTTCCTCATTTCTCTGGAAATGGCTACTTCTTCTATAAGGCTTCGTCTAATTCAGTCAAAATAAGCATTTCTTTGGTAGAAAAATAAAGTCATGCTGTAAAAGTAGAGAACAGTTGAGACACGATGGCTCAGTGCTGCATTCCGGGCACTGCCGAGGCTAAGAAATCTCTCCACCAGGAGCTGATCTGAGGATGAACATAATCTTTATTATTCTATTCTTTATTGGTAGGTATGTGTGTGTATTTATATATATATATATATATATTTAAACCCTTTAAACAGCTGATCAGTCACCTGGTTTAATCTGACTAATGAATACAATTATTATATAATAATGTCAGAAATGATAACATCTGCAGAGAAATAAGTAGAATTTTGGAAGAGAAGAATATCACTGATGTTTTATTTCAATCATAACCGTTTACCCAGAATCATCAATATTTTCTTCTTTCCTTTGAAGACGGAATTCTATTTAAAAAAAAGATTGAAAAGAAGAAAGAAGAAGAAGAAGAAAGAAAAGATTGAGATTAAATCTACTTTTTCTACTGTGAAGTCTGAAGAAGTTAATTCCTTTTAGCATCTTTTTATTGTGAAAACTCTTTTAAACCAGAAACTATCTTCTTTATCTAATCTAAACTTCCTGCATCTCTTCCCTTTAAATTGTGTTCAGTAAAAAACTGATCAGCTGGTGTGTGTGCGTGTGTGTACTAGGGTTCCCACCTTTAGTAGAGAAAAATAAGGGACGCTACAGCTGACGGGGGGCGGAAGATGTTACCGACGGGCGGGAGGGGGGGGGGGGGGGGGACACGGCCGACGGGGTGTGGTGGCTTCAGAGCTGGACGCGGGGGTATTGGGAGCCACTTCCGCCGTTCTTTCAAATCGACAATCCGCCAAGAGTCCCGCCCTCCTCTGACTCTCATTGGTTTGTTTCAGGTTCACGGCCAATTAAACCAACGATGGCAGCGAGTATTACCCAATAAGGGGAAGAATAGGACGAGTCTTCACAGAATTCGAGTGGGATTATTTGCATGGAATGTTGTATTGACGACAACTCGGAAAATACAGAACAAACCCCGTCCTGTATTGATTCAAAACGGGACGCGCTATTTTATTCGCAAATACGGGACGATTCTGTATTTTAAGGGACGGGTGGCAACCCTACTGCGTACGTAAATGTATGTGTGTAAATATGAGTGCACTGGCCGGACGGCTACAAACGCGGCCGAGAACGCCTGCGGCCGTCGGACAAAGCGCCCGCGAGTCAGTTGTCGTTAACCACGTGGAGCAATGCTGAGAATGACGCTTTGCAAAAGTCTTTTCTGACAACATTTGAGAGGGATCTGATTAATCTGCGAGGAGCAGAGTATAAAGTAAAAAAACATGTAACTATGTTGCCACCAGGTGGCGCTATAACCATACTTATAGTTTGGCTGTCTACAGAGTAAGGATGTCATGACACATGAGAAATAAGGAGCAGATTAGATAATGGCTTTCCGAGAGCATCAGAGGGCCCACTCCAACTCTTAAAGTTGCTTGCTCACAGTTCTATTCCAGCCTAATCAACCAAACCCCTGGCAACTCTAGACAGCCTTTTCCACCATAAGCCATCTCTTGAGGCCACAACCATCCTTTTCAACTGAGACTACAGAGGAGCAGTGGAACAGGTTCATTGACTTTTTCTGATCCAAGGTCAACAACATTCCCTCTCTCATGTCCAGCTCTTCACCTCTTCTTCCCTCTGACACCAACACCTTCTCTGCCAGTGTGCTGTCTCCTCTACACCTCGCTGAGGTTCAGGAGGATGTTGAGGAAATCCTTAGAAAAATGACATGCTGTACCTGCACCCTGGCTCCCATTCCCACTGCTCTGATCAAGTCACATCTACTGTACACACTCAGTCCTTTCATCAGCAGAGCTGTTAACCTTTCCCTTCATTCCAGCTGTGTCCCACCTGCTCTTAAGTTTGCTGTCATGTGTCCTCTCCTCAAGAAGCCCACCCTGGACCCGGAGGTTCCAGCCAACTATAGACCTATCTCCAACGTTGCCTTCCTGTCCAGGGTGCTAGAGAAGGTAGTTGCTTCTCAACTTCAGGACCACCTCAAGCACAACAACTTGTTTGAAACATTTCTGTTAGGATTCCATTCAGCTGACAGCACAGAAACAGCTCTGCTCAGGATGACGAATGACCTGCTGATGCTGCATCACCCTCACTTCTCATCCTCCTGGACCTGACTGCTGCATTTGATACAGTGGATCTTGCTGGTGTGCCTCCGCACCACCATTGGACTATCAGACTATGCACTCAAGTAGGTTTCAATCCTACCTTTCTGGCAGAAGTGAATACGTTTCACTGGAAAGATGCAAGTCCAGACTGCTCCCGGTCTCCCGTGGTGTTCCGCAAGGGTCGGTTCTTGGCCCCATCCTCTTTATCACCTAGATGCTCCCCCTCGGCCGTGTCATCAGCAAACAAGGAATGTCCTTTCATTGTTATGCTGACGACACACAGCTCTACATCAAGACTGCCCCAAGCCCCTTTGCAGCCATGTCATGTCGCACCGCCTATCTTGGGGAGATAAAGGTATGGATAAGCAACAACTTTCTCAGTTTCAAAACAGAAGTCCTTTTGGTTGGCACTCCACACCAGGTTCAGTCATCCTCCATTATCCATCTCACCTTTGACAGTCAGGTCATACCCCTTTCCTCCAGTTACCTGGGTTATCTGGGAGTTAGGTGACCCTCACCTGACCTTTAATGACCATATCAAATACCTGTGCAAAACCTCCTTCCATCATCTCAAAAACATCTCCAAACTCCGGCCCACTTTGACCCTGTCAGATGCAGAGAAGCTTGCCCTGCCTTTATCTCCTCAAGACTGCACTACTGTAATTCGCTCTTCACTGGAATCACTGGCAAGAATATGCTGAAACTACAATACATCCAAAACAGCGCAAATGAATATGAGCACATAGCACCCATCCTACACTCACTACACTGGTTCCGTCTCATTCCGGATTGACCACAAAGTTGTACTACTCACTCATAAATGCATAAATGGACATCCACCTCCCTATCTGCAAGAGCTACTGACTCCCCAAACCTCCACCCGCACCCTCAGATCTGTAAGCAGCTCGCTGCTCCGGGTCCCCAACACCAAGCTCCGCACCATGGGCGACCGGGTCTTTTGCTCTGCAGCCCCACGCAAATGGAACAGTCTCGCTGACCACCTGACGGAAGCACAGTCACTGGACTCTTTTAAAACTGGCTTAAAAACCTACTTATTCAGGAAGGTGTTTTTTACTCTATCTTACGTTTTTTTGTCCCTATGTTTTTATTAGCTTTTACTTTATTTTAACTATGTTTTTCCTATATTCTGCCATCTCCGTCGCACTCTGAGATCTGTTGATGAAGAGGGCGTTATAAATAAAATGTATTATTATTATTATGTATGGCCAATTCAAAACCACTTAATTTCATGGCAAACTGTGGAATTTTGCAATAGTATTTTTTCATGCTTTATGCAGGCGGTCTCAAGATCACACCCAAATTTGAAAAGAATCGGGTTTAATCTCTGGGAGGAGTTTGGTCCTTAACAACTCCAAAAAAGAATGAAAATAGGCAAAAAATGCAGATATTCAACGATTTGGAAGTTATGTGTCTTGCCAGATTAAGCCACACTCCTTGCAAAGTTCATTAGCCCATATCTTCTCAAAATAATACGATTTTATGATCCAGGGGGACATTGAATCAATAATGATACACTGACGATTACGTGACAATCGCACACAGCGTTTAGGAGAAATGGCAAAATTCATTTTTGACCAAATTCAAAATGGCGGAAAATCGAGTTTGGTGCATTTGCATACCATGATTGACTTTTTTGTAGAGCATGTCCAAGAGCACATGTGTTTTCAAGTCAATCGGGCATTGGGGGGAAAAACTGGCCTACTGTGGTACTCTGGTGGCGCTATAGAGAAATTTCTTTATACACCAAAATGATCAAATTTACCTCCAGTCCTTATATGCATGCCAAATTTAACAACTTTTTGTATATCATAAAGCCCCCCAAAAGGCAAATAAACTGTGAGAATAATATTAAATCCTTAAAATACAATAGGTTCCTCTACGACAAGTCATAGGGAGGATCCTAATGAGAAACCTGCAAGGCGGCAACAACAGTCAGGTCAGGTTACCGTGGCTATTGTGGTTAACACCAGAGCTCAGGTAGCAGCAACAAGAGTTGGCTTCAGTCTGAACAAAGACTGTGTTTGGCAGATTTTTCGTTCGACAGAATTGTCAAAAGTTGAAAAGCTCTTCAGGCTTTCTACCCAAGCTGGTGGTCTACTTCTGAGGAGCTTTAACAGTCACTGTACAATCTACTCAACTTAACAGGGGGTTGGACTTCTTAAGGTCTTCAGGTTATGTCGAGTTGCCTTTAGGTCTCCAGGTCCAGATGAAAGTTACTGCAGAAAAGCTGCTGTCCCAATCTACTAAACGTAACAGGAGCAGTGGGTTGGACTTGCTGTCGTCTTAAGGTCTTTAGGTTGTGTCGAGTTGTCTTTAGGTCTTCAGGTCGTCTTGAGGTCTTCATGTCTTCACGTCGCTCCGTCTGCGGTGGAATGTGAAGCATTGCTGTCATGACAACTTGAGGCAACATCACTGCAGAGGAACATTGAAACGAGTTTAATGCGTTCAGCAACAACGTGGAAAGACAGACTGATGTTCGGTAATTAAAGAGATCTGCAGTCATTCATCAATAAAAATGAAACCTCTTTCAAATTGTCAAAACTTCTTTTAGAAAATATACAACCTGTCATCATATCCCTCCTTTTGTTCAAAAACATCGCTGAGGACTCCAGTCCAATAACAAAACATGCATAAGAAGAGAAAGGCGGGCCTTGAAAAATTGGCCAATGAGAGCGAAGCAAAATAACTTTAGTCACCGGGTAGCGACCAATCCGGAGCCTCGATGAGGATTTTCATTCAAATACCCACAGCTGGAACCGGGAAACCGATATAAATAAACATTTTCTTATAAAACAGACGGTAAAGAGCAAAATAAAAAAAGGTTTCCTCATGCACATCAACGAGGCTCGGGTTCAAAGGTCAGGAGAGGAATAATTCCAGGAAACTCGCCAATAAATAATCCAGCGACTGGTGGAAACGCCCTTTACGGCCGTTTCAGCATCCGCAGAAGAAGAAAATAATTTGTCTGGTCCACTTTTCACAACGCGTTCAGGGTTCCAGAGAAACATCTGTTGTTCTCACTACAGCAGAGGAAGAAGTTCTTTACTCCTTCGCCAATCGAATCTCCCAAAAGCAACAACATGGTTCCTGGTTGGATTGGATATCCAGTTGTCCTCCGAACCTTCGGAGGGGACTCAGGGCTTCTGGGGGCCAGGGGACAGAACCACAGGGGTAGAGAGACCATCCACACTGAGAGCCGGGATGTGGATCTGATTACTGCCATTAGTGGGAAACTAAAGGGCAAACAAGGGGAGGGGAGAGAGACAGAGAGAAGTCCATTTGAAACAGTTTCATCAGGGTTTATTGACAATCCCTGAACACAACACATATACAGATAAATATATTGTGTGTGTTTCAGTAGCATTAAAACCGCTGTAATGCTTCTAAATGTCAAACTGATAGCGAGATCAGGGATCAAAAAAATAATCTGTTTCATAAAGTCATCAAATGATATACACACACACACACACACATACAGTGCCTTGCATAAGTATTCACCTCCTTGGACTTTTATACATTTTGTCATGGTATAACCATGAATTCAAATGTATTTCATTGGGAATTTATGTATGGACCAACACAAAATAGTGCATCATTTGGAAGTCGGGGGTAAGTTTACATGGATTTCAAAATGATTTAAAAATACAAATCTGAAGTGTTAAATGCTTAAGTATTCACCCCCTTTACTGTAAAACACCTCATAAAGATCTGGTAAAAAAAAACAGCATTAAAAAGCTTTAATTTCCAACCCTTTATTCTAAAACAGAACTGCAAATTCACATTGCAAAAATAGAAAGTACAGGTTGCTCCTTGAACATAATCATTTATAAAAAAGAAAATACAAATCAGAAAATGTTAGTGTTTTTGTGATTTGTTTCAACGTCAGAACTTGTTCTCTATACGACACTCACAAACTCTCACACTCACACCTCCATGTTCACTTGAAGCTTATTCATTACATTATTACCATCATTGTAGTGATGTATACAGCTAAAAAACAACAAAGTGCTATGAGATTAATTTAAAATGGCATTTGTAAATAAATGGATTAGAGGCTTCTTAGTTGATTTAATGGATCACAGTGTGTCTCCCTTTACAGGCATAACATCAACTACCGTATAACCCACGAAATGTGCGCAAGCGCACTGGACTGCCGTATATGACAGTATTAAGAAGTACAACACACACAAATATATTTGTCAACAATAACCGATATGGGAGAAAGCACAAAATATATACAAGACAACAGATTGAAAAACGAATGGTCCAAAAGAGGTGAGTAAATAAAAACGTGTCTCAGTCCTGCTAACTGCTATACGAGCTAACGCTAGCTTGATCAGCTGGATGGCGAGTAAAACAGCAGCAGCGCTGCTGGAGGCTCGTTACATTCCTTACGTCAAAACGGTGTCTGCGTCATGTGATTCACAACAACTGCCGGCGCGGCTTGCTGAGCAAAAAAATAAAAATAAATAAATAAAAGCGCAGCGCTTTTATTTTTTTGCTCCGCGTGGATCTCCGCCACTCATTGAGTGACGTAATAATCGCGTGACACAACGAATTCGTTGCCAACGCTTTAAATAATCAAATTTTAGCGATTTCATCGATTTGTTGTTGCAGCCCTAATCCCAAGATTTGAACACTTCACGGAGCACCATAAAATCCATCATCAAAAAATGGAAACAACATGGCACAACCACAAACCCACCAAGAGAAGGCCGTCCATACAAAATGACCAGGCAAGGAGAAGATGAATCAGAGAAGCAACCAAGAGGCTCATGGGAACTCTGGAGGAGCTGCAAAGATCCACAGCTGAGGGGGGAGAATCTTTCCACATGACAACTATTACTGTGTACTCCACTAATCTGTCCTTTGTCCTTATGTTTGGAGTTCAACACAAGCCATGTGGAAGACAGAGCAAACACGTAGAAGAAGGTGCTCTGCTCAGAGGATACCAAATTGTAACATCTTAGCCTCAATGCAAAACACTATGTATGGTGGAAATACACATATATATATATATATATATACTGGGGTTGTCAAAAAGTTTAATTGTAATCACTGGGCAGTGAGCACAGGGCACACTACAGGACACGCTGTGGTGCCCTCATGAAGAGACATTCACACCAGTGGCCTGCTGGAAGCCATTCTGCAGGGCTCGGGCAGTGGTCAGTGGGCAACCTCCTTGCACAAAGCAGGAGATATCGCTCCTGCTGATGGGTTGAGGACAGAGGTCTTCAACAGGGGGTCCGCGACCCTCAAGGGGTCCGTGAAGGTACTGCAGGGGGGTCGCGAAATTTTTGGTTGATAAGACAATTTTTTTCCCCACAAATGTAAATGTCTTCAGAATCAGAATCAGAATTTTATTTATGGTCTTTAAATACACATTAACATGAATCCAACATATTGAAGCGAACGGATAAATTGATGGAGAAGACGTTATCTATCAGTCCGCAACACACACATCAGCTTCCCTCAGCAGCTCTCAAGCTGGGCACCGGTTCACTCACTGCTCCTTTCATGCTGATACGACAGCGCAGGCACCAGCCAATCAGATCGCGTTTATGCTCACGTCTAAAGAGCGTGAAGCTCAAAAATAAAAGATGGCGGACCAAACTCCGTAGAATAGGGGGTTCCTGCTTCACCTCGCCATCAGTTTGGGGGACCTTGGCTTGAAAAACGTTGAAGACCTCTGGTTGCGAACCTTCTATGACCCTGTCCAGCTCTCAAGAGGGAAAAAAAAGCTCTCCTAGAGTAATTGCCTGTTTCCTGGAATCTCCTTTATGTTCTGGAGATTATGCTGGGAGACACATCAAATCTCCTTGTGACGGCAAGCGTGGATGTTCCATCCTGGAGAAGTTGAAAAACTTCTGTAGGGTTATAAAAATGGCCTCATGCTCCCAGTAGTGATAATGACTCTAGCTAAAGCCAACACTAGTGAAAAAACAGTTAGAGATCAAGAGGGAGAAACTTGAATTGGCCTCTAGATACAAAACCAGTCCTGGGGGGGGTCGTCTCATTGTTGCCCCTCTAGTGCACCTGTGGTTAATTCCATTAACACCAATGCAGGTGAAACTGATTAATAACCCCCTCTGCTATTTACCCAACCAGATCATTATCAGAGCCAAAAATTGTTCCTTTAATTGTGGTCAATCCAAGAGAAAAGGGGATGAAATACAATAGAAGAAATAAAATCAAGGGATGAATAAATAATCGTTGTCCACTCCCGAGTGTAGTATTGTAGATGCCACACATGCTGTTCAAAGAGGGTAGTGTATGATGTTTGGGCATAGAGAGAGTTAACGAGTCACAGTTCAGCCAGAGGGCCGATCAACATACGGTAATAACCCTCATTTTATTAATAATGCTGTGAGAGGACCCCATCGTTTTGTAAAGATTTTGGAGCCTTAATGAATATGTTATTCCATTTGATTGATGTCCCATACTTTTTGGATATGTAGCAGCTGTAGCCATCTGATAGTTATACCCTTCAATTCTGCAGTGAGTAGTATCTTTAGAAGGTATTTTTTTCTTCAGGTATTGCTCCCAGTAGTGCTACTGTGGGATCTTGTTGGATGTCCTGTTGGAATCTCTTTGGGGGCATCAAAGACTTTTTGCACTTAATTTAGGGCATAGCCAGAATATATGTGTGTGATTGGCTGCATGTGTTCCACAGTTCTGCCAGCCAAAGTTTGAGTGTCTTGGGCCCATTTTGGCGAATATTTCTGCAGTTTTGGGGAATCTGGTAATTACTTTCCATTGTTTTGAATTTTAAACTAAGTGTTCCTCTGTGCACATTTCCTCCCAGATATTCTGTGGTATGATCCTGTTCATTTCCGCCTCCCATCTCCAATATTTTTGTAGGGAATTACGTTTCATAGATAGAAAGACGCTATATAGCTTACTTATTGTCTTCTTATTTTCGTTTCCCATCTGTATCTCTATTGAAAACCTTTTTATATTTTTATATTCACAAAAAAGGCCACCTTTTGTGTGTTGTTAGAAACGTTTTCAACTGTAGGTATTGGAAGAAAATTGTTTTCGGGAGATTGAAATCCTTATTCAGCTGCTCAAATGTCTTATATGTCATATATCGATTACAAATCGATTGAAATGGTACATAATCGACTGTATCGATACTTGTAAACTGCACATTGGATTTAAGTACAAAAACGGTGTGGATGCGTGTTTGTTTGTTTGTTTTTTAGCACTTTAGACGCGTTAAACGTTACTTGATTCCGTCTGCCTGTCTGTGACGTCATCAGTACGCAGCGGCCCCCGCGCGAAACAACAAAAAACACAGCGTGGAGGAGACGACTGCAAGCAAGACATTTACAAACCAACTTATCGATCCAGCGCGTGGAAACATTTTGGCTTTTGCAAACACGGAGGTGTTCTAAATAAGTCGCTCGCTGTTTGTAGAATATGTAGAAGACAAATAAAAAACCACGGAAACACAACGAATCTTTCCGGCCGTCTACTAAGGCGCCGTGGGATTAAACAACGCCGACAGTCAGGACCTCTAGCAGCGTCACCGCTGCAGCAGCAGCAGGTAACTCAGCTCTGCAGACACCTCAGGCCTCGCCAGCACCAAACTCAACAGTAACAATTGCCAAGTTTATCTGTAAAGACATGCGACCCTACGATGTGGTTGAACATCCGGGGTTCTGTGAATTGACCCAAACATTGTGTAATTATTGTGTAATGTTTACATGAAAATGGTTGCACAAGAAAAGGTTAATACATTTTCCATCAATTGTTGTTTGCTTGTTTATAATATCCATAATTAATTTAAACCTGATTTCCTTACAAGAATCAACAGGGATCTCGGAAACTTTGCCTGCACTGTCCAGTAAAGTTACTGAATCGATTTCAAGTCACTGAATCGAATCATTCTAAATGAACCCAGATCGTCCATGAATAGAATCGGCAACCATGAATCGTGATTCGAATCGAATTGTTGTTAAAATTAATCGTTACACCTCTAGTCCTTACACATGCGCGGTTGCTTCTGCTTCTTTTATATCGATCCCACCGTGCAACCCTGTACCGTCCGCAACCACCCCTCCCCCCCATTGGCCGTCGTAATGTCCCCCCCCACACCACCACCCGCAAAAAATAGTATAGGACATTTTCCTTGTCCTTCTGCTTTGGGAGTCTCTCTTTTCTTCACATTATGCTACACATTTTGTTAATGAGATAAATCAATGTTGTGCATAATAATCAAGACTTTCATAATCTCTATAACGCCGACAACACACACACATTTTTTTTTTACTGTTTTCTGACAGAGTTGAAGCATAAGCAGCGTTACATTAATAATGTACCACAATATACCTCACCAGACTGACATGTAGAGGGTGCTTACCTCTGTATGGGCACGTGACCTTTGCCCATGGGGACAAGTGGATAAGTTGTAAATGTAGCAAAACAAAAACAGAGACTTTCTTGTAGGGGGAGGGGGGTGCCGTTTCTCTCATCTGAACCAGAAGGAGTCAACAAAGTGCAACAAACACAGAGCTGGTCTATGACAGAGACTTTTACCTGAAATGACAGTTTGGCTGGAGAGCGAGGAGCGATAGGGCTCAGCGTGCTCCAGAAGTGTATGGTGGAGGGGAGAGGAGTAGGAGTGAGGAGGACAGGGGTCTGTAAGACACACAATGAGTCATTAGAGGATGCATGCACGCACACACTCACACACACACACACACACACATGCACGCACACACACCAGGGCATGGGAGGTGATGACAGAGGGCGTCAGGCTGTTGGTTGCTGATCCAGGAGCCAGGAGACTGTTCACAGCAGCATTCACCTGGGGAGGAAAAAGGAAGTAATATCACACCCGCTGCGGCTCATTCTACGTTATGCATTGATATTCTACTAACCCATTGCATTCGCATTTCATTCTACTTTATTTTATTACTTGTGCACTGTTTTGTCTTGTCTGTCTACTGTCGCGCACTAACCGCCAAGACAAATTCCTTGTATGTTTAGCATATTTTGGCAAATAAATGTTTCCTGATTCCTGATGTACCTTATCCAGGGAGAGGCCGTGGGGGAGGGAGGGGGAGGAGGGCAGCTCTAGGCCGCGAGGCTTCTTGGGTTTCGAAGGAGCAGCATCGGAGGTCACAGGAGGAGACGCTGTCAAGGAGGAGGTCGTCACCGGGGGGGCTGTAGGCTCTGTGTTAACACAGGAAATGATGTCAAGCTCTCTACTTAGTCAGAGAACTTCTGTGAATAAACTGTATTATTATAACCTTCACTATGACTTGTTATGTTATTACATCTTATTATATGAGAAGAAAAGACATTTAGCTTCAGACCTTTGATATCAAAGAATGTGCTTTCACTTTTACAAGAGGTAATAAACAGTAGTAAATAATAATACATGTTAACAAACATGTATAAACATTAATTAAAGTAACTAAACAATAATAAACATTAATGAATGGTTATGTAAAGATAATAAACATGCCGCATCATGCAGAAGCTACTAAGTAGTATCACCTGTGGGCGTGTCCTGCCCTCGCTTACCTCCGACCCCGGGCTCCATGCAGGGAGGGGGCGGGCTCTCCGTGATGGTGAGGGAGGGCTCTGGTTCTCCAGGGCCACAGATCAGCTGAGGGACCTGGAGGAGGAGCAGAGACGTCATGAGTAATGAGTCTGAAAGGAGGACTGAGCAGAAACCTGCACCTCCTCCTCTGACCTCCTCTACCCGTTTCTCCTCCAGAGACACCATCTCGAGCAGCTCCTCCTCCGACAACAGGTTTTCCTCCTTAATGGCGATGGGGGCGGGGGGAGGGCGGACCAGGGGAGGAGCACACTGGTGCTGGTTCAGAGGAGGGTTGATGATGACATAGACGGGCTGGTGATTGGTGGCCCCCCCAAAGTCGTCCTGCTGGGGACCCATCAATACGTGTGGGGGAGGCAAAGGACTCACCACCCCCCCAGCAGCCCCCAGGGGGATGAGGGACGACGGATCTCCGACTCTGGTGAGGTAAATCTGAGGAGGCTCGCCCACTGGAGGACCAAGAGGATTCTGGGAGAGGAGAAGAAAGTAGCTTAACACCCGTTTGGAATTGGGTAACCACACAGGGGGCGGAGCCTCACGCTGACCTCTGATTGGCTGGTGGTGCTGGCTGGTATCTGTGGGCTTAGAGCTGGGCTCTCACAGGGAGACGGGTGAGTCACAATCACCTGGAGGGAGGACTCAACTCCTCCTCCTCCTGATGGGGGCGACGTGGACTCTGCCTGTACACACACCTGAGAGAAGCAGGAGGACCAGGAGGAGGCGGGGGGGGAACGGGAAGAGGACAGAGAATTGTTCATCTCAAATATTTTTTGTGTCCATGTTGAAAGGACTAATAAAGTTCTCTGTATAAATATGAAATATATTGAATATGTTCCTCACAACCTGATTGGTTGATGACTTTCTTTGCTGGGCTCTTTTTATTCACGAAGAGAACTAACGAATAGCTACGGGAGACCAAACCTACTTGTAAATACAATACTACAAAATGTACTTTTAAAGCATGAATACATTATGATACATTTCACATGGATAAAGCAGCAGGTTTGTTCCTCTCTGACCAACAATCAATACATTTGATCGGCGCAGTAAGAAGCCGTGTAACTGTGATGACGACCCACTGACCGCCTGCGTCCCCCTCACCACTCTGGCCTTGGAGGCGGAGTCCTGCTGCAGCAGCGGTGGCAACTCTGTTTTGATTGGCCGCAGGTCGGGAGAGGCTTGCAGCGATTGGATGGTGAAGGTGGAGTAGAGACCGGACTTCATGTAGTCGTTACGGGAGCTCTTCTGGGAGCCGGGTGACGAACGCTGGATCAATAAAAGATCAATACGTGATATTGATACGGTGCCGATAGAGCCTGGTTCAATAACACAGATTGTTCAAATAGTCATCAATGTCAGAGAGACAGGTACCTGGGATAAGCTCTTTGATGCATAGGGTGAGGCCACGCCCCCCGGGCATTTTGATAGGCTGACGGGGTCGGCGGTGTCCGTCCTCTGGCTCTGGTCTACGTTACGTATCCCATCATGCATTGCGGGATCGGGCTGACTCACAAACTTATAAACAAACTTCTGACCGCTCACCTTCTTTATGATGTTCTGAAGGACGCACATAGATTCATTATGAGTACTACAAATATATAGTACTACTGATATGACTGATTGACATTTCATAGTACAGTGGTTCCCAAACCTTTCTTGTCAATCCTCCCACGACAATATAGGAACACTGACGTAGCTTCTTTGTTTTCAAAAAATGTGTTTTTTTCTTTCTAAAATAAGTACAAACACCTCAATTGTCCACTTCGGTTTCCAAGCAGCTTTAGTTCAGTGAGCTTCATGCTGTCTCCTGTCAGTATTTAAAGACTCTTCTTCTGAAGAGGGACAGATGTGCCTTGCATGGCCGCGTTGCCTGTCACAGCTGGAACGGACTATCAGATTTGAGATCATTCAGGACCTGTCCTCTTCCAGCTTCGATCACCATTCGATCAGAACCAAAAATAAAACATGTTAGATCTTAAAGCATTACCCAGAAGCCTCTTCTTTCACTACTTCCTACCATCTAGGAGATGACCCACGACAAAGACGAATCAGCTCACAGCGTCAGTCCTCTTACTTCTTTTCTTTGTTTCCACTTTTCTTATTCTGTGGTTTTCAGAACAGTAAGAATGAAAGATCAACTTTACTCGCTTAGTTTCTGTTGAGAACGTTCAAACGTTCAAAAGATGAACTGACTTGGTGAGTTAGCTTGATGCTATGAAGGTAGATTTGTGTCTTTATTATGCAAACAAATCAAAAAACTGTTTTTAGAGAAACGTTTGTGAGTAAAAATATATAAACTATATATAAATTTAAAATACATAATTTATCATTTGTGTTTTTAGCCTCACAGAGGAGCTCACCAAAGAGTCTGCTAAGATCAAAGCTAACATCCGAATGGTGATCGAAGTGAGCGAGTTATCATTTTCATCTTCAATACTAACAAGCAGTCTATCCCTCACCATTTGGTATCATTTTATTATATATTGCTATACATGTGTGTGTGGATTTGGTTGAGTGAACTTGCGCCCGTCTTATAGTTCCACCCCCCAGTTTGTGAACCACTGTCCTATGCCATGTCTCATTTGGTTGGCTGCACCCTCATGGATGGATGAAGGATGGATTCGTCACTTTGGCTCCTCCGAATGCGGTTGAAGAACGCAGCCCTCCAGGCGGCGATTCACAGACACATCTGATCCATCTTACCCTAAGATTTAATTTATTCAGGGTGGAGACAGATGAGCCGACAGGGGGGGAAGTGGGATTTCAATTTTTTAGAATACAGACATTTTTATATAGTTTCATTTAATATATTTTATCTGGATAGTTCAGTAACCTTACAATTACAATTGTGAGAATGAATACAAAAAGAAAATAAACTTGTCCTTTTGTTTTGTGGTGTGATTATAAACTAACTATACATTTAGTTTAGTGTGATTATGTGTGCATCTCTACTGCAAGGCCATCAGACATCCAGGCGACCTGAAATCTTTTCTTTAAACCAAGCTGGTCTGCTAAATTTTTTGTTGATTCTACTGTTTTAAGTTAATGTGATTGCTGGTTTGCTTTAGCTCTTGCCGTTTTTACAGCCAGTTCTTTCTTAAAGGACTAACAAATTGTAGCACTTAAATTGTACTTATTAAGCCACTTATCTATAGAAAATTGTAAATTGGCTTATTTGAGGAAATTGCACTTTGTTTCTTGTTCTTCTGAGTTTGTGTCCTTATGGTTGAAATATACTTATTGTAAGTCGCTTTGGATAAAAGCGTCAGATAAATGACACGTGATGTAATTATAAACTAACTATACATTTAGTTGTGTTTTATGGAGCAGGAGGAAGCAGCATCAAGCTGAAGGAGAATGACGTGTGTGGTGACATTCAGCTTCTGTAGCTTGGACATATTCTGTAAAGAATCTGTGCAAAAAGAGTGAATAAATGTGTTTGCTGTTGTGGTTTTTATTGACGTCATTGATTTATTTCCTCTGCCTTAAGAATGCAATATACTGCCTTAAGATTGCTCCAATATACTCGGAGCTAAAAGTTCACGACTTGTGACTAGAAAATGTTCTTCTCTGATCCTGAAATATATCATGCGCCGGAGGTGAAGCGTATCTTCCTAAATTAAATGAAAAAAGAAAAAGAAGATTACTTTCGCGATCTGCAGATTTTCCATGGTTTTAAGGCTTTTACTTTCAAGCGCAGCAGGTTGCGGGAGTGGCAGAGACAAAGCTGATATAGCAAAAAGGAAGTCTCCATTTTAGGGGCCGCTTGGTTCAGCCAATGCGGTTGTTGGGGGACCCGGCCCACGTAGACCAGCAGGCCGGTTCCTCAGGAGGATGCAGCCCACCAAACGAGACACAGCCCTAGTATCACCAGTAGTACTACTGATACTACCTTGTCGTAGTAGTACCGGAGGGCCCGGCTCAGCTTGTCATAGTTCATGTTGTGCTTGTTCTTGCGGAGGCCCCAGAGGCGAGCCACCTCCTCAGCGTCCAGCAGCTTGAACTCTCCGTCCTTTCCCGTCCAGGAGATCAGGTGATGCTGTTGCTGGTCCTCCAGTAGGTGGAGCAAGAACTGCCACAGCGTTATGGAGGGGTCCATGGCTGAGGAGAGAGAGAGAGGCAGGAAGGCCGGTTCTCCATCAGAAATACTGTGACTGAGACAAGGAGGAGCACATCGCCATGGCTTTATGGTCTGCTAGAGATCTGTGAATCAGTGTGTAGCCCTGCCCTAAAGCATCCCCTGCTTTATGGTCCGTTTGACTCTAAATGGACCATCATTCACTAAATGAACATCATGCTGTATCGAAGAAGACTTGAAACTAGAGGTTGAGATGATAAACTTGTGTTTACTGGGCGAATACATTCAAGAGAAAAGTCCTCTGCTGGTCACAGGTTGAAAAGTGCTGAATATCATGTGAAGATGAATAAACAGTCCAGTTTCTGAGGCTAATTAACATCAGCTTCATAAGCTGACACACCACCAACCCATCAGAGCCCATGGAAACCACTGTCGTGGTGACGGACTTCTAATCAACGGTAACCAGGGAACAATTAGGCTGCCCCCCTGCTCAAAGAAACTTCAGCACATCTGAGGATTTCTCTCTTTTAGAGGCTGAACGCTAATAGAAAACATATTAACTTTAGAATTTAATAACATTCAGGACTGCTTGGAAAGAACACAATATTCATCAAATAGAATAATAGTTTTTCCTGTGTCGACATGAGGGTTTTGGGACAGAGGATATCCCACGTGTACAGACATATACAGATTCATCATTTAAATTGAATCGGCATGTAATGTATATTAAAAATAGGAAAGATGAAGAAACCATGAGAACCTATTCATTTCTCTCAGACCCTAACGAGGGGTTTTATTGTTGTGGTGGTGGAGCTCTGACCACCTTGTGTCCCGTTCAGTTTGATCAGAAAATCTGTTCACTTCATCAACTGTTCATCTAATCTGTTGATATAAATGCATTGATCAAAATGTTTGCTTCGGGTCAATAATAATAAAACCCATTATGTTTATTATTTATTGAACTCTACAGGAAGTCTAGCTGTGATACACAGAGGTGTGACATCATGACCTCAAAGAGGTTGAGATGACATGATGTCACCAGCTGTGAGATCCACTACACCTCCAGCCAGCTTCTACACAAGACAGCATGATGACACACACACACACGCATAAACAAATACTCTGTCTACACAAACACCACATACACACAAACACACAAACTGCAGCAGGCCTCAGCAGCTCCACACACACTTGTTGCTATGCCGATGCTTCCCTCCATACTGCACAGAAACACACGCACCTGCAGCATGTAAACACAGCACCGTCTCTCACCGTTAATCAGCGGGTTTGACTCCCATCTTACGCCCCGTGTTGTGTTCTAGCGAACATTCTCCATGCTGCTTGTTGTTGCGTTACCTGTGTGTGTGTGCGTGTGTGTGTGTTGGGGGGGCGGTCAGCCGTCAGAGCCGGTCCAATGAGGTGACGTTCCGCAGCTTCTCCCGCGCCCCGCCGTTCTTATGTAACCGCTCCGGGCTGCCGCTGCCGCCGTTGCCAGGCTGCGGAGCCTCCATGCTAAAGCCAAAGCTAATGGACACACTTAAAAGTTCAGCACACCAACCGGAGGGGAGTTTGTTTCAGCAGCGCTCGCAGCTAATTAGCTTAAGTAGCTAATTAGCTTAAGTAGCTAATTAGCTACCTTGAATGGTAACACTAGCATGCTAACGCGTTCTCGTCTCATCCTGTCAGGTTAAGAACCAGCTACCGTCACGTCGGTTCGGTTTAGCCTAGCCTGCTGCTCTGACAGCCCCCACCCCCGCCACACTTCGGTCCCCGTACAGCGCTGCTCATTGCGGGTTTAAGAGTTCACCGGAAACCGTCCATAGACCTCCGACGCGGATGGAAAGGCAACCGTAAAATAATCCCGGTTGTTTGTTGTCGGTTTAACGAAGCGAGTCGTCCGCGGCTTCGGTGTGTTTTGCCAGTTTTCTTCCTGTTTGGAGCCGAACGCCCTCCTCGCTACTTTTTACCCTCCTCAAGGTAGCCAGCGGTCACAAAACCACACTTCCGATGATCAATTCCAAAATAATAGATTTGTACTCATAAAACACCTTATTTGTAGAACTTGTTTTGA